AATTTCTTATCACCTCCCAGTTACTAAATAAATGTAACCCCGACTGTGATATTTAGAGACCGTATTTCCATGTTGTTAAAAATCTTATTCGCTTGCGTGTAAAATCTTCAAACCTGACAATCTGTCCGTTTCACGATCTGTTGATTAACATATTGAAATTTTATACTGTACTATATTGCACGTTTTGCTATTTTTGGCCTACATTGCACCATTTTGATTCTTGTTGCATTAAATTTCACACTTTTAACTTTTTATGCTAGGTCGGTGTGACTTATAAATATCAATACATCAATTTTTTATAATATAAATAGTAATTTCATTATTATTAAAAATAAAATGAATAATGGCGAAAGTAGGATATGGCCTCTAGTCAAAAATTAAAATCTGGATATCAAATTACTCTGAATTGAAACTTGATGAGAAAGTTATCTTCTACACGCTCTGTGAAAAATCAATCGAGTGTGATTAGAAATCACAGGTAGACACTCATTGTAGAACAGATAAGAACAAATATTTCTATCAGAAAATTGGATTTTTTTTAGAATATATTTTTGTAATCTAAAAAAAAAACAGTGTCAACATTCGTATTTGAAGACTTGAAAATCTCAAACATTGCAGTGTATTTCTTAAGTTTCCTAAAAAATCTTAGGAATTAAATTTTTATCTTAATTTTTTATATGTTTCCTCGTAATACATTATTTCGATTTAGATTTATTAATATAATGATTAAACAAAATAGATGATTTTGGCACTTTTTAGGTGCTAGTTATATAATTCCAAATATTTTGGGATTTTATTGCACAATTTTGCACATTTTGAGTTTTTTGCTGCTTTTTTTTTTGTTGCACAAAGATCCGGGCTCTAGTGACAACACTGCAGCATGTCGAAAAGCATCAAGCAATTCGTTCTAAATATATTAAACATCTAGGTAGCAGTGAGTCCCAAGCCATGTTGGGAATCAAAACGCAAACGAGTTGGTCGAGATAAGAGCTTTTCTTCCTCTGCTCAAAATGTTAGTCAGGAATGACAGTCTTAAGAAACACAAGAATTACTTGGAGTGAGAGAGGGGAGATGTTAGTGTAGCGAGGTGGCTAACGCATGTGCACTGCGTGTTGTCCGCAATATTAGAGGAGAAGGTAATTACGAGTTCACGTCTCGGTGTCAGTGGGAGCTTTTAACTCTGGTACTAATCCACCGCCCTCAACCTCTGGCCCGGGAAAAAACCCGTAAGCCTGTAGGTGAGGAAGAGAAGAACAAAAAAAAAAAAAAGAAGCCAAGAATGACTTCAATCATGATTGTCTCTGCATGTATCACTCAGACTGACCTTTATTTTGTAATTCATATTAACGTCTCTTCTTGATTTATATTTTTAAATATTTCATGGAAATTATCAGTTCCACTATTTCTAGATATATTTCCCGATTTATAAATTGTATTGTTTTAGAAATGTTTATAATGGGTTCTAAACGCAATCATTTTTAGCCTAAATAGAAAAAAAAAAACATTTTATCTACACTTCAGTTGTTCCTTTGTTTTTCTACTCAAAAGACTATAATAAACAAATAATTAGATGAATTATGAGTTGTTGTTTTTTTTATTTTTTATATCTTGTTCCTTGTTAAAACGAATTAATGATATGATTCGTATTTTCATATTTTACCTAATTTTAAAATAAATATTATTGGTTAACTATAAATAATTGACAATTTATTTTAAGCTGATTAAACTGAATCAGATTCTTATCTAGGCAAGGGTAGTATATGAATTTCATTTTATAAACAGAGAAGAAATTGTTATTGAAGTTGTTTGCCTGAGTACTGACAATATTTGCAGTATTTACTGAGGTCGCGGTCATTACCAGAGCGCTCAGGCAGCAAGCGAGAGAACAGGCAGATGTACCGAAGCTTAGCTCGCTAACGAGACAAACCAGGAACAGCCAACTATTGGAAGGACAGTTGTCCATCGGATCGAGGGGTGTGAAAATCATTAATGTCAATCATCTCTGTATATTCCATCCACAGCTGTCTGGTTCCTCACAGGAGACCTAAACTCAACAAAAACTAGAAATTTCTTCCTTTGAAGAGTAGATTATCGCTAGAATCTATAAACGCTGAAAATTATTACATAATCGTTTATTATTTCCAAATGGTTTTGTATCAAATGTAACCTTGTCACTTCGAAGAGAAAAAAAGAGGTGATTGCTAATATTGGCCTGAATAATTTTATCTTTCATTATTAGTAATTTACTAAGAAATATAGACAATATCGACTGCTTCAGTTGATTTAAGAATTTCCAAACGTCAAAACAAAGGACATCAGCTTTGCAGTAGATCATCTGGTAAACACTTTGAACACCGTATCTTTATTCCAATTCGTCCGATTTCAACGGCTTTCTTCGTTTTTTATAAAATTTCGAAAACATTTAAATAAGTATATCAACAAAAATCTAATTTTATCATCCTTCACTCGTAAGTTCTTTCTCGCTCAGACTCAAGTCACTGGTATACAAGGCCATACTAAGACCAGCACTCCTGTACGGCGTACCGCTCTTTACACACTTAACTGAATAAAACACATCGATACAATCAGCAATTTCAAAACACAATTCTTAAGAAGATTGTCAGAACAACGGTGTGAAAAAAAGAAAAACTTTCGGCTCTTCACAACATACTGGATATCCCAACGGTTCCGGAATTTATCTGGAGGGGGCATGTTAAATTCCTGGACTTACTTAAATACCTCCCTAACCCATTATTCTCGACTCTAACACCGGCACCTTCGCCAGTGCGATGACAAAATACACCATGAGAAAGTAACATAGATGATTATTAATATATATATATTCAGAAATAGAAAGAATATTCAGTACAGGAAAAAAAACGTGCCCCAACACCTTTTAAAATATTTGCAATTTAAGACCGCATGAAAATGCAACCTCAAAATAGCTTTAAAATGAAACATCGTTTCAGCAAAATGCTTAAGATCCAACGTAATGTATTTCATAATAGATTATTCAAATTGGAGGCTTGGAAAAAAAATAAAGTTTATAATTTCGAGGAAAAAGATATATTTTTAACCCCTTATACATTATATAAAATCCTTTATTTCATTTCTGCATTTCGACGACGTTTCTCATTTTAATTTTAATGTTTTTTTCATTTGTTTTCATTTTAAAGTCGAAAATGATATCAATAATATAAATAAATTATTAAAAATATATATGTAAAACCACATATTAGCACATAAAATCAATTAAATAGAAATTTAACAATTATATTAATTTGAATTGATTGAATCGACATAAGAAAACTAGTGAGCACCATCACAACAATATCAATTTTAACCTCTCATAATTGCCTCAGGATGTATACCATCCATTCAGTACAAGGGATACCATTCCACTAAGTTAAGTTATCTAAATATCACAACGTATCAATGCGTTACCAAGCAATCTGATAAGCCAAGGGTTACGAGTTAGAATCCCGGTGCCGAGGGGCTTTTTACTGTGGTGTTAATCCCTCGATCTCTCCTCTGGTCCGGTGAAAACCACGCATAGTGGCATGACCTCTCTTTAAATGATAATGATCATACAGCTACTAAACCCAAATTTGATGATCTCTAAAAAGAACGATACATCCAGTGATTATGAAATGAAATGAAAAAAAGAAAATTATCTGGGCTATTGTCCCCTAAGAATAATAACAAAGTTACAAATTTATGGGCCTTAGTCTGACTTAGAATAATAAAAAATAATTTACTGTTGATTGTTATTGCAATTTTTCAGTAGATTGAAATTAGAGTGTACAGATGCAAGCAATTTTACATGTTTGCGGCAGTTTGAATATGGAGTAGGTGGTGGAAGAGGAGTTGTTTGTATGAATTTGTGGACGAGGATTGACGTATGGAAGTAGGAAGAGAATTTCAAAAGGAGGTAGCACGAATGACGAAGGATTTGCTGAAGGAAGAAGTTTTATGGGAGGGGATATATAAGTCTATAGGTTGAAACCTGGTATTAAGAAAGTGAATAGAGGAATATAGAGTAAGGAGTTCAAGAATGTAGGGAGGATTTTTAGTTCTGAAGACTTGGAAAAGGGAAAACACCGAGGAGGAATTGTCGGGAAGTAGGATAAAGCCACTTCAACTTGGTGTGCCACAATGAAACACGTGAACGCCTGGGTATCCAGTAGATGTATCTTATAAAACAGTTCATGAGTTTCTTCAGCCTCATTTCTAGCCTGGCATATAGCCCTACATACAACAAACAGCCGTAGTCCAAGTGGGGGAATATAAGTGTGGTTACAAGAAGTTGTCTGGTTTTTAGAGGAATACAATCACGGAATCTTAGGAGTTGTTTAAGGACAGTTATGGATTTTCAGGTAACCTGGGAGACATGGTTATCCAGGAGAGGTTCTGGTCAAAGGTTACTCCTAGGTTTTTGACTGTAGGGAAAAATGGATGGGACGGTTATTGGGGTTATGTAGAGGAAAATAATTCATTTATTTCTGCCCATCTGTTGGTGCAGCTGATATCCTCTTATGATGTTATGATATAGATCACAGGTGAATCTACGAAACAAGGTTATCTACCTATGATAAAGTGTTATTGTGCTTCTCAGTGTTTTGTATTTTTCAAGTTTGTTTTGTTAGTTTTGTTGTATCGTTTCCTACTGTTTGTGTTATTTTAGTGTTTTATAGTTTTTTGAACATGATTTAGTTTTAGTTTATGTTTATTTAGTTAATTTTATAAACTTTTTGAGTGAACAGTGGAGGTTAAGGTTAACTTTGTGGTTGTCACGAAGCTTTAATCTAACCAAAAGGACGTTTAGAGACTATTACGTTGGTGAAGCACTAAGGTAAGTTCATATTAAAGTCTTACTTTTGAAGATAGGAAATTTATAAGTTTCCCGAACGTAGGTTAGATTTTGAGTGTTGAATATTTCCTTCTACTGTTGTTCACCCATTATTTCAACGTATAAAGTTGTTAATTTTGGATTGCGTAAGATGGCTGATGAAATTGCATCAGCAATGGAGCAGGAAATGGTTGAAGAACAGGCTATAAAGTGCCCAAGGCCTTCAGCAAAGAGGCAAAGGAAAGGATCTCCTGACGCCCGAGAAGAAACAGATAAAGAATGTGTAGACGATAGTCTTCTGCAAGATGCACGTAGAATCAAAGAAAACATCAGGGTCTACATGAACGCAACAGACAGGAACGTGAGTGCGAAGGTACAAAAGCACGTTAATGGGAAAATTCAGCAGTTAATAGATATAATGGAGACAATATATGATAAGAACTATGAAAAATCGTTTTTAGTACAACGTGTGGTAAAGGACACATTAGCTTCCTCTGAAATGTATGATATCATAGTAAATGCATTAGTGGAAAAAGCAGTACCTATGGTTATCGAGGGACTCAAGTCGGAAAGTAAAACCATACAAAGACCACTGTCAGAACCTCAGACATCTCGGGAGTTTCCATGCGTTAAAGAACAACCGCTATTAGCCGATGCCCACGCTATTATTGAGACCACGGAGAATGAAAGTTTCCAGGAAGTAAAGAAAAAGCAAAGAAGGAAAAAGGCTCTTCCACAAGTGGCCAAAGAGATCGAGGCCTCTAAACCAATAGCAGAGGAAAGTTTGACCAAGAAAAGGTCTACACATCAGACTACGATGGCCGATATTGTTAAAGGGCTTCCATTAAAACCGATGGATAATACAAGACCAACTTATGTTACCATCGCTTCTCAAGGTAAAAGTGCAGCTGACATCATCAACAATCTGCCGTCTCCAACTGAACTAGGAGTCAAGGCGAGAGTTGTACGGGCGACCAAAGCTGGCTCAGTTTTAGTTTGTGTAGATGAGGGTGCCCATGCGAAAAAAATAATTGAATGGCAAAAATTAAAAGAAGTTGGGATGGAGGCAAAACTAGCCTTAAAAAGAAAACCAAAAGTGGAGGTAAAAGGAGTTCCCCTTTCATGGAGTGCGGAAAATCTAGAAAGGGTGCTATGGGAAAGGTGGGCTGCAAAATCGGCCGTTATTTCTGAGAACCAATTAGGTAATATAAAGCCATTGTTCTCATCAATGGCTAGAAATAAAATTACCAATAATTGGGTGTTAGAAGTACATCCAATGGTAAGATATAATCTACTCAAGGAGGAAATAATTACAGGAGGTTGGTGGTCACTGACAATCTTAGATTACCCCGATGCTCCTCCCTGTCTAAGGTGTCAGGGATATGGACATACAAAAGCTACTTGTGAGGCAAATGGCATAGTATGCAAGTGGTGTGCGGCGAGTGGGCATATTGCTAAAAACTGTCCCGCAAAAGGAAATAAGACCGCACCTACATGCGTTAACTGCGTGAGGGAAGGTGTTCAAAAAAGTAAGGCTAAACACCAGGCAGGAAGTAGAGAATGCCCAGTGCACATTAAGAGATCTCAAGAATTAGTGAGGAGAACTCACTATGATTAGACTCAACATCCTGCAGTTGAATATGGGCCGCCGGCATATTGTGGCTGACGAGCTTCGCGCCATGGCACAACGCTACGATATCATGGCGGTCCAGGAACCTAGCTGCCGTGGGAACAGGGTTACGGGGTTTGGCCTCACGTCAAGAGTTATAGCCCTGAGCAGTGGAGAGAGGAGGCCCAGGGCTGCAATAGTGATTAATAATCCTAACCTTGACGTGATGGATCTGAGACAACACACCATGGCGGATTATGCATCTTGCTATGTTAAGTGGGGCAAGATTTCTTTCACATTGGTATCGGCATACCTACCTGTGAATAGTGATGTAGAAGAAAGCATATCCGCTATGGAGGCGATCATTAGAGAGATGAGGAATGTGATCATGTGCTCAGATACCAACTCCTGGAACACGGTCTGGGGGTCCAATATTACTGACAGGCGAGGCGCTAAAATGGGAAATTTCATAGGCAGAAATCACCTTGTCGTGATGAACGAACCCTCTGCCATCCCTACCTTCTCTGGAGGCATGGGGCAGAGTTGGATTGACGTCACGATCGCCACGCCTGCGCTTACGAGGTATATTGCTGATTGGACTCTCAGATCTGATACGAGTTCCGATCACGTTGCGATAGCAATTGGCCTGGTAAATGAGCCAGGATGTTCCCACGGTACTGATAAGGGTTTCGTCACTAAAATAAATGACTGGAGTGTCTTCAGGTCCTACCTGGAAGGAGTGATTGCAGACGAGGAGTGGGAAGCGGCAGAGATGGATGTAGTTGACAATCTGGACTACAAGGTGTCCAGGATTACCAACAACATTCGTGATGCTGCCGAACACTCCCTCAAGCACCGGAAGGCGAGGGTTCGACCTGTCCCATGGTGGACGCCAGCCTTAACTGTTCTAAAACGAGACCTCTACAAGGCCCGGCGGTCATATCAGAGGTGCAGATGCGAAGAGAGGCGCACTGTACTTCGCAATGAGTACAAGTCAAAAGCAAGGATATACCGAAACGAGGTTCGCTCACAAAAGCGGAAGTCTTGGGATGATTTCATCATTGAAGAGTCTTTGAAGAATCCCTGGGGTATTCCGTATAGGGTAGCATTGGGTAAGTTGTCCCCGATGCAGACTATTGCAGCCTTGCGGTATCATAATACTGAGGCAACCACCCTTGAAGAAACTGCCAATGTTTTCATTGAAGCAATATATCCCAGAGATGACCCAACCCAGGACAGCGAAAATGATGATTTTGTGAGACGCACCACGGTATATCCACCTGGTTCAGATTTGTGCCCACCATGGGACATTCAAGATCTTCGTATTGCCGTGGATAAGCAGAAGACTAATCGTGCTCCAGGACTTGATGCAATAGATGCAGCGATCTTGAGGAACAGTATCACGTATATTGAAGACCGGCTGTTGAGTATTTTCAATGAATGTTGAGACTACTCTACAAGGGAGGAGATAGGGACAAACAACTCCCTAATTCATATAGACCTATATGTCTCCTCCCTGTGATTAGCAAGGTCCTGGAGAACCTCATGATGATTAGTTTACGGCCTGTTTTCGCTAGAGCAAGTCATCCACGGCAATATGGATCAACCAGAGGCAGAGGAACCGCTGATGCCCTGCTGAGAGTGCGCAGAGATGTTGAGGAGAGGGCGGAGCGGTATGTCATGTTGCTTCTTTTCGATATATCCTCCGCCTTTGACAGCGTATGGTGGCCTAGCGTGCTCCAGCAGCTGCAGAGGTATGATGCTCCTAGTAACTTATACACATTAGTAAGAAGTTATCTCCAGGATAGAAGTGTCAAGATTAGAGGCAATTACTACGAGGTAGAAGCTTCCATAGAGAGAGGTTGCCCTCAGGGATCGGTGCTTGGTCCTGCTCTATGGAAGCTCGTCTTTGATGAGTTACTGGGAGTGTTAGAGGAGGAGCGGTTTCCTGCCACTGCTTACGTTGACGACCTAGCTGCTGTGGTGGCCTCCAACAGCAGAGCTGGAGTCAAGAGAGAAGCAGAGCGATGCGCCAGCCTAGTCGCTAGATGGTGTGAGGGGAAGAAGATGAGGATGGCTGCTGCTAAGACTCAAGCCATCCTCCTTAAGGGAAAGACTGATAGGGCACACCCTATAACGATGTACATAGAAGGTCAGAGGATACGTCCAAGTGAGGTGGTAACCTACCTAGGGGTTAGGTTAGGTGTAGGCCTCAATATGACGCCTCATTTGGAATATCTGGCAGGTAGGGTGGCCCTAGCAATGAACGGTCTAAGTCGTGTGGGGGGCGCATTTTGGGGCCTTAGGTATCCAGCCACTATCACTATTTATAAGGGTGTTGTGGAGGGTATCCTTAGGTATGCGTCTCCCTTCTGGTTCCGAAATCTCACACTCAGACAAAGAAATAGGCTAGCATCGACTCAGAGAACTGCTCTGCTTCGGGTCACCAGAGCATATAGGTCTACGTCGCATGAAGCAGTGCAGGTCTTAGCGGGGGTGGTGCCTCTCGACCTCCTCCTGCGAGAAGAAGTGACCAGGTATGACTACAAGAAGGAGGGCTCAACTAGTCTATCGGAGAACCTACGGATGAGGATTATTGAAAACCCAAATAAATGGAAAAAGATTATCCGGGAGGAAACAATTGAAGATTGGAGCAGACGGTGGGTGACGACTCCGAAAGGCAGTACCTTAAGAAAATACTTTCCCACCGTTGAATCTCGGTTACAGGCGAAATGGGTCCTCCCGGACTATTGGGTTTCACAATTTCTCACGGGACATGGGGGTTTCAGAGCTAAACTCCATGGCTACGGACAGGATATAGATCCCCACTGTCCCGATTGTGGTGTTCCGGAAACTGTTGAGCATGTGGTCACGGCCTGCACTGCTTTCGACGAATTAAGAGCGAGGTTAATGAGAACCACGGGGATTTACGTCCTCACTGAGGAGGAGTTTCCTCAGTTGGTGAGTGAAGAAAACTTCCCGCGGTTCAAAGAGTTTATAAATGGCTGGAAGACGGCGGTGGGCCCAGCTCACTTCAACCTAGGTGCACGCAGAAGGAGAAGAGGACCAGTCCCAGGAAGACCTCCGGATTCGGGAAGCCAGGCCTAAAGGAGCCAGGAAAAAGTAGAAGAGCTAGCTGTGTGCACAGCTTAGAATTTTGTAAACTGATATTATGGCAGTAGTGTGTTATTATGCATTAATGCTTAACATCACACTACTGCATACACCCGTGTTGCCCTGGTGGCATGGGAGGGTGGAAAACAAATAAAAAAAAAGGTGAATCTACGAAGATAGGCTTTGGGGCTGAAGCCTTCCCCAAAATGGTAAAATATAGCTATGTTTTACAGAAAAAAATATTAAAAATTATCTCTTAAAGTATTCTAGTTCGAAAAAAAAAATCTTTCAGGCTGAAACCCTTCCAAGTTAAATTCTGGATCTGCTAGTGATATAGATAGTTCTTTTTCTTTTTCTTTCAGAGTGATTACCGATACAAAAAAAAAATCTCCCAAAGTTAAATCCGACGGATCACTACTGATAAACCAAGGAATTAATTATAACCGAAATATGAACCTGCACAAGCTCTGAAAATTTCATCAAAATCGGATTAACGATAGTTATATGTTCCTTGATCACAGAACTAAAACATAAAGCGCGAAATACAATAAACACAAAACTTCTCTTCGATATCAACGAAAGCAAAATGTATTCACATTTTTTTTTTTTTTTTGGTACAATAGGCGATTGACAAAATATTAGTAGCATTAGAAGAATTATTGAAGAGTATAGTTTTTTCCTCAATATAAATTACTTTCAAGAGGTAAGCTCCAAGTCTCTCTTGAGTTTTAAAATTTATGAACTATAGAATTCAACATTTGTTTTTACCACAGTATAACGCAACGTTAGTTTGCAATATACATACAAATGGAATTTTTTTCAATATGAAGATTTTAAAAAAACCTTCCTCGCAATAAAATGTCTACGATTTACTTAATTGTATACGATTTCCAATATAGGATGTAAATTAAAATTCATATTGGTAACCGACAGACTGTATAAATATTCTAATGATAGATACATTAGCGGTCGAGGTA